CACCGCCCCCCCATATCTGATGAAGCTCTCGTTAAGTTTGTTCTCCTAATGGCCCGCCCTTTGATGTACTGGGCTGTCTGAAAGGGACTTAGAGCCTTCAGGAAATTGTTATTTTAACCTGGCAGGAAAGAATTAAAAATAAACAAATAATTTTTGTTTTCCATCCCCCCTCAAAGCTCTTTAACTCTTTCTTTTCCCAGATAGCAATTAAGCAGGAGCTGTCGAGGCTGGTGGTGTCGATGGCTGCAGGAGTGTTGGCAACCAGGGGTATCTCATAGCGTACCTGCCCTGGGGAGAGGAGGGCACCGTCACGCAGCAGCCCTGCAGCCCCCAGCGCAGTCCCGTGCCTGGGACCACCACCTCTGGGCAGGCAACCGGGGCGCCTGGGGCCCCTCCAGCTTCAGCCCGCTCTGGCCGTGCTTGCAGGGACACCGGGCAGATCGAAAGCTGCCTGATTAATAAAGTTCCTTGCTTTGCACTACTGCAGGCTGCTTAAGGGCAGCATTTTCAAAAGAGGTCAGCTCCCATTTAGGCATCGAAATAAGTTGGTTGCCTATTCAGGAGAGCTCAGCATGTCAAGAACTGAATGCTTTTGAAAATCTGGCTTCAATTGTAGAAGCTGAGAATTTTGAAATCTGGCCCCAGTTCCTAATAGTTCTTTTGGAATTGATGTTTTCATTCATTTTCCTCATTATTTTTATGCTGGCCATTTACTTTTTGTACTTCACTCAGCTGTGAAAGAAATGGCCACATGTCCCTATTTAGAGCTCATATTCTGCCTGGAGGTTTGGGGAGGTACCATACACTTGTTGCAACACACCTTCTCTCCTCAGTCTCTGCTCAATACTGTTCAATCTGCCCAGGGCCGTGCGTGGCCAAATTTTTTGATCTCCCCTTTTTTCTCCCCACCTCTTGCCCTTCATCTTTTTTACAGACCTGGGGGCAGCCAGTTCAGTCACTGCATCGATGTGCTTGGGTGGTCCTAGCTCTCGAAGGGTCCGTTACACGTTTCTACGCCTTTGGCTTTGCCCTTCTGGCCAGAGGCTCGGCACGACACAGAGCTGCAGGGAGGTCTGGTTGGGAATGTCTTTGACTAACCCCCTCCCCCAGCATGGGCTCCAAGGAGCAACTCTTTTTCCATCCAACATTTTTCCATCGCGCTGCCAAACCCATCCAGAGAGGGGGAATGAGTCAGCTTTGCTCCGTAGTCTTCCAGCACCGAGGAGCAAGACGTGAAGTCCTCCCCCAGAGTGTTTCTTCTACGTTGGTGGAAGGCTTTTGATCCCCAGCAGCCCTGATGGTGCAAAGTACAAATTAAGCCTGGTTTTTAAGCTCAGACTCAAAAGTCTTTTCTAGATGAGTGTCACTAGTGGCTCATCGGTGGTGTCAATGGTGCATGTCCTGGTGCAGGCAGACCTTGGGCACTTTTACGGCCGCGGTCGGCGGTGGTTTGCCCAGGATGGCTATGGCACAGCGAAAGGTGCTTTGGTGGCTGTCCTACGTGAAAAAATGCCCTCAAGTAGCTCAGATGGTCTCCAAGTGAATATCTAAAGGATTTCCTACAGCAGTACATGATGGTTGATGGGGAAAACAGTCTTCTCAGAGGAAGACACTAGGAAGAATGAGGTGCTGTCTTGTCACTTTGGTGCTGGAGGTTGTCCACAGCGGATTTTCACTTGTAAGGGGGCTGTGGGCTGCAGTAGCTAGAGTATGAGTCTAGCTGGCCTTTCTGGGTGCCTTCAGGGTGTGCCCAGCCTGATGCCCAGCAGCCAAGCTCTGTCTCTGCTCCTGGCCACCTGCAAGCCACATCAGGCCGTGTCGACCTTGACCTAATTGACCCTGCCTCTTATCAGGGCTTGTTGTCATGACCTCACGGCCACGTGAGTCATGGCTGCGTGGCTCCTGGGAAGGAGGTGCCTCGCCTTGAGCTGGGTTCTCACTGTCGCGATGTGGACCTCAGCACCATCAGCCATGGATGTTGCCCCCGCGCTGCGCTCTTGCGCCTTTGCTGTCACCAGAGGCCAAGCAAAGTCATCTGAGAGTGGCTTGGTGAGGTTTCCGCGACGCTGTGGTTCCTTGCCGGCAGTCATCAGCCGTGCCTTGGATGACTCAGCTCATCCAAGGAGTTAGGAGGTTTGATTTTGGAGGTTACGCTTGAAGGGACTTGTCTCCTCTTTTTGACTGAATGGGGTTTGGAAGGGGCACGCTCAAACAGGCGATGGCTCGAGCAGTGAGCGTGGTGTCCGCAGGACATACTGCTCTGCAGAGCCCAGTTGCTTTTGAGGAGAGGGTTTGCGGTTCATTGTGTGTCTGCAGAGGGAGCAGTTTTCCCAGTTGCTCTTTGGGCTGGCTGCTGTGGTTGGTTTGGTCTTGGGCTTCCCTCCTGCCAATGTGGGCATGCACAGGAGCAATTCTGAAATGCCTGAGACTCGTGGGTCGTCTTTGTGCTGCAGCACTGAAGAGCTCAGAATCCTATAGCTGCATTACGATGTCCATCATGGGAAGTCTCTTCTTGACTTCAGCCCTTTGCCCTTGGTTGGAACTGAATTCAGTTCATCATCAAAGGTGTCTCTTGGTCCCTCTGACCTGGCTTGTTTGCTTTAGCGTTGGTTCAGGACAGTCTCTCCAAAACAGCTGCTACAGTGTGCGGCTCTTCACAGCAACCCGGGTGTGGGTGGCTGTGGGCTTCATGTTTTATAGAGATTGTGGATGCTTTTGAATATGAACCTGTCAGTTTGTCCGGCCAGGGTGGTTCAGCTCAAAATAGGCAGCGTATTTCAGGCAGAACAGTTAATCTGAAATCTTGCCATAGATCGTGGCTCTTGGTTTAGAATAAAGGCATATTAGTGTAACCTGCCCTCTGTCACTGCAGTCGATTTAAACAATTTTAGAACAGGCCATTTCTTTTCTCCTGAAAAAGTGTCCCGTCCAGAATAATTCCTTGCAGAAATGCCCTGAAAAACTTGTACATCTCCTAAGGAGTCCAGTCTGGAATGAAACATAGGTGTGGCCAGTGTCGCAGAAAGAGCCTGTGAAACTGCAGCATCATCTCTGTTTTCATGTAGCTCAGGACTTGGTACTACTCATTTACTTTTGTGCTCAAGCTAGAGTATATTCCAGACACAGACAGAAAGTGGCAGCAACACTTGGCGAGTATATCCAGTGACACTTTGTTGGAAGTGTTTGTAGTTTGCTCCTGCAGTCTGCCTGGTGTGTATTGCTGTCCCAGTACAGGCGTACGCTGTGCCGCATCCGAAACGGGGAAGGAGACTGACTGTGTGTCTGTGCACACATGGATTTGTACTGAGGGATGGGATGGGATGTCTTGGGGGACCCACAGCCATGCCTGTGGGAGAGGCTGGAGAAGTGCTTGCCTCAGTGTCTGTAGCCTGCTCAGGTCACTGGGTCGGTGAATCCCTGGGAGTTTAGGTATGTTGGTGGAGAATCCAGGCAGGGCTGGAAAGCAGAGGGAAGTCTGAGGGTTTCACCCATCCTGTTTCTTGTGATCCGCAGGAATCCACTGCCGAATCTCCACTGCACCCCCTGAGGCAGCTTATGGGACCCTTCCCTGGGTGCCTCTGCCCCAGGACACACCGCATGGGATGGCAATGACACGTGGAAGGAAGAGACCCATGTCCCCCATCCCTTGCCTCATCCTCGCAGCCGCTAGCTGCTTTGCCAAACTGGGTGAGTTTCTGTTCCTACCCGTTTCGTTGGCTTTGCCTTGATGCTGGTTAGCATGGCCGTGCCTCGGGCACAAAGTAGCTCTCTCTGCTGCTTCCTCCTTGACCCCAAAGGTCTGGATTTAAACGCTGCTCAAGAGGAGAAGGGGATGCCGTTGGAGTTGGCCATCCCTGTCCGGTGGTGCCAAGAAACGGCGTTGGTGCACATCTCCGAGCACTGGTGTGGGTGTGGGGGGAGCTGAGGGGAAGGTGCAACACAAACAGACGCGATGGGGAATGCAAAATGTACCAGCGCTGCAGTTTCTCTGACCTTTCTTTTGCTGAGTCTCACAGAGCTTTCTCACTCCCTTTTTTTTTTTTTCCCTGTGCAGGTGAATCTCTGCAGGTCACAGTGCAACCTGCCTCCATTGTCCAAAAGCTGGGGGGCTCAGTCAGCCTGGGGTGTGTGGTGGATCCCCCCAGAGTGAACCTCACCTGGAGACTGAACGGGAAGGAGCTGGCCGGATCGGACGAGGTGCTGGGTATCCACATCGAGCGAGGGAAGCTCCTCATCTCGGCTCTCAACAACCGCACCGTGGGGCGGTACCAGTGCATTGCTCGCGTGCCCGAAGGAGTCGTTGCCAGTGTCCCGGCGGTGGTCACATTAGCTAGTGAGTAGCTTTATTCCTCTGCCGTCCCCTCCCGCGGGCTCAAGCGTCCGGATCCTTCACAGTGGCCTCAGGGGAGGGCTCCTTCACCTTAGGTCACGTTGCGACAGTTTTGGACCATGGGCTGCCGGGTTGCGGCAAGGTGAGGAGGGGGATGGTGGGAGAACGGCTGATGGTGGCGTTGCAGGCAGGGGCTGCGCTGTCCCCGTTTGGTGAGGCAGGCGCAGAAGTCGGCGGGAGGTGGACATAGGAGAGCAGGGTATCTATGAACGCTCCTAACGAGGTTTTTGTCTCTAAGGTTCGGAAGGCTGTGTTCATTACTGCTACTGTTGGTCCCAGGGGGCTGTGCTCCCCCTTTCCAGGGCTTTGTCCTCTCCCTCCGAGGTTGCAGTGGCGTGGCAGCGAATAGCCACCTTGTTTCCGAGCCGCAGCTCTGAGCGAGGGACTTGCTGCTACCGCTGAGCTTACGCGCTCCTCGCTGCTGCCCACCGGCGTTAGCGACATGCCGAGGGGACGTGCGCATGGGGGGTGTCCGAGTGGGGAACTCCTCTCACTTCTGGCTTCCTCTTGGCCAGATGTTACGCTCGCATGTGAGAAAGTGCTGTATTTGGATGCGTCTGTGAAAGGGCAGCCCACGCCCGATTCGAAACGGGGTGGGGGCTGCATGTGGACCACCCTTATCTGGGCAAGGTTGATTCTCATCTTCTCTGAGACCCGTGCAGGTTTTGTTGGAGCAAGCGTGTGCGGAGGAGACGGCCATCCCCGGGCGTGGAATGGGCTTCGTCTTCCCAGCAAGGGGGAGTTCGGGGAGAAGTCTTAAGAAAGTGAAGAAGTGAAGATGTTTGTGCAGAGCGGGGGCTGGCTTCGCTTTAAAGCCGAGAGCTGTTGGCGTGTCGCTGCTACATTAATCAGGAGTGAAATGTTTAGGCCAGGCTGGGTGGGAGGAGGAGGCGAGGGAAACCGAAGGGAGAGTTGCTGAGCTCTGAAGCAGGGTGGGAGGGGGTTGTCACGGGGCCGAATCTGTTGGGGGATTTGGCCTGAGCCCCGTGCTGAGATTAAGTTTCGGAGAACACATTCCAGAGCAGAAAGGGGGCTGTGTGTGCTGGTGGCCTGATAGAGGGAAGGAGAGGAGGGGAGTGGTGGATGGGATTACCAAAGGCATGGTTTGCATTTAAGAAGGCAGGGTGTGCACGGCTCCTCCGTACGATCAGTTCCTTCTTGGGCTGATCCCCTTTTCGTTTGTACCCCTCACCCCAACCCACCACCGCCAGCTCTGTCTCCCAGGACAAAGCATGGCCATTTGATCTCTCTCTGCTTTGGTCTGGCATCAGTGGTGGATGGGAGACAGGTCCTAGAGCACCCGGAGGTCCCACTGTGTCCTTCAGGAGAAATCAAAGCCACAACTGAGTAGTTCCTCAGTCTTCTCCGGGAGCTAAATTCCCTTCATGTCCAGGAAGGACATGAGGCTGAAGGTGCAGGAGAGAGACCTTGCGGAGGGGTTCAAATAACAAGTTTAATGTGTGTAAGCCATCACTGGGTGCTGGTAGCCCCGGTGTAGCCCTGGGACTGCTACCTCCTTCTCCTGGCTGTGACACAGTGAGTCCATCCCTGCTCTCCCTGGTTCGGAGGGCTGGTTGAAACCAGCCTTTAATTCCACCAGCGGAGATAAAATAGCTGTTGTATGGCCAGGGTGTGGGATGGAGTCTGGGATGTGGCAGGGGTATTCCTGGTTTTCCAAGATGGGCCCTAAGCCCACATGTGGCTGAGCGTCACAGCGAAAAGTATTTTTTCTGCCCACTTGCAGGTGGCATATGGATTTAAATTGAAAGCGGGGAGGTTTAGATTGGATATCCGGAAGAAGTTCTTCCTGGAGAGGGTGGGGAGGCACTGGAACAGGTTGCCCAGAGAAGCTGTGGATGCCCCATCCCTGGAAGTGTTCAAGGCCAGGCTGGATGAGGCTTGGAGCAACCTGGTCTAGTGGAAGGTGTCCCTGCCCATGGCAGGGGGGTTGGAACTGGATGGTCTTTAAGGTCCCTTCCAACCCAAACCGTTCTGTGATTCTATGATTCTGTGATATTTGCCATCACACCGTCATCCCTGCTCCAGCCCCTCTCCTGGGAGGAGGTGCTATGTGAAAACGTGCAGTGGGCTCTGGTGGGTCTCTCCCAAACAGGGACACGAACTCAGTGCCGTGGGCTGGTCCTGCAGCAGTGAAAGACTCAGAAGGTCAAGAGCCCTTGGTGGAGCTCAAGGGGCAGCTGAAGTTCAGAGCTGGAGCGAAGCCAGCGGGCAGAGGCAGCCAAAGCCGTGCAACTCCCAGCATTAGGCTGTGTGCGTGGAAAATCAGCACAGGGAGCGCCACGGCAGGCCTGGCCTGGACAGACGTGACATGTAAAACCAAATCAGAAATACAGGTGAGGGGTGCAGCAAAGGGGCTCCACCTGCTCCAGTGTACCCCCATGGCCAGGGACGAGAGGAGTGTCTGTGCCCTGGGGATGCTGTGCCATGGGGGAGGCTCATGGCCCATCGGCACGGGGGGATCTGGGCCTCAGCGCACGTTGTTGCGGGCAGTGACCCCGCACCGGGTCGGGCCTGGCATCCCCCAGGAATTTGCAGCTGCTTTCTGAAGACAGCCCCCATTCATTTTCCTTCTCTTCTGATGGCTCCCCAGGGGCGATGGCTCCCCGGGGGCGATGGTGGAAGGGAGGGAAGGAAGGGGGCAACTGCAGGTTGGAAAAGCATTTGCTGAACAGGCACGGGGGGCTCTGGCCCAGGGAGCAGAGGTGGTGTGAGGAGGGGGAGAGAAGGAAAACACAGGTGGGATTTCTTGAGCTGTGGAATGAGGGCTGTGGGACAGGCCTGGGGTGCCGTGGGGGATGCGTGTGGGGGGCTGCGTGAGCAGGTGGGAGGCTGGGGGTGCTTGTGCCTGTCCCCGGGGGGTGGGAGGGGGCTGGTGGTAAGAACGCTGGTCCCTAGGCTTCTGGGGCGCTGAGTGGATGGGGAGCGAGAGCTGTGACCCGAGGCTGCTCTGACAGCCAAGGGCGGCTCAGTGGAAGGTGTCTGCCCCCCATCCCTGCCCATTCCCCTTCTGGAGGTCTCTCCCTTACCCTTCCCTGCAGCTGGGAGGACTTTCACCTTGCGGGCCAGCATTTTATTTACTACTGCTGCTTCTCTGAAGTTATTTACGGTCTCCCATTCATTTAATCCGGGCTCTCTCGCCCGCCTCATTGCTTGGCCCCCGGCCCTGGGATTCAGCTGGTTTCTCTCCCCGATGACAGCGGCACAGCTAGCCGCAGGGCTGACCCTCCCCACACCCCGGCTGGCCTTGGAGATGGACACGAGCAAGGGTCTTTGGTGCTGCCTTCTAAACAAAAAGAAAGAGGAGAGGGGGAAAAGGAAAGGTAAAAAGATAAGCCATGTTATCCCAGCACGGCTGGGGTTGGCCGGGCTCTGTGCTTCTGTCTGCAGCCCTTGGCTGGTGGATGAGGACTTGCTGCTTCCCTGTGATCAAGGGTGTCTTTTAAGGACAAGGTTGAGGGCTGGCACGCCGGGCGCTGCCATGTGAGAAGGAAAATCCAGCCAGTGGAGAGAGGATGTGGTTCCTCCCAGCTGCAGCGGGAGTTAGGCTCGGGGTGCAAATTGCATGTTAGACATAGGGCGCAGCCGAAGGGGCCCGTGCTGCACCCCCCTGGGCCCTGCTCCTCCCCCTCACCCCTCCCTGCAGTGGAGCGTGGGGCTCCCCACATCTCAGGGCGGTCTCATTTGAAGCCCCCGGGGCGAAGCTGCCTCCATTTAGCCCTGCTGGGGCCAAGTGCAACAGGATGGAGGGGGTGCAGGGGGGGCTCATCCCACACACGGGGGTGCCCCTGCCCACCCCTCACCAGCTCTGGCTGACCCATTGGCACTAACAGATGGCTGTGTGTGCCCCTGCCAGTGGGGCATAGCGCGGATGAGACTGCCTGTGGCCAAAACCCACGGGCAAACAAAACTGTCTTGTTCACTGTGGGGGAGCAGGAATTTAGGGGAGTAGTTTGGCAGGAAGCTCGTACACTTGCGTATTGGAAAATAGTTTGTCCCAGTGACCACCTGATGTTTTCCCCCTCTCCCCTGCTGGTTTCGCTCTACTTCTCCGGCAGTGCCCGGTTCTTGCACCCCCAGACACAGCAGGACCGCATTCCTCCATCCTTTTTCCCCCTCTGTCTTCACCCCTTGTCCCCCGTGGCCGGGGTGGGAGGGGAAGGCAGAGAGAGCCAGAGGTCCTGCTGCCCCCCACTCCCCGTGGGGCTGCAGCACACAGAGTGGTGAGCGCTGGGGGGCTGCGCTGCAGACTGGGGGGCTGCACGTGAAGGCCCACCCAGTCCAAGGTCATCCCACGGGTCCCCTGGCACCACGGGGACATCCTTTCCCACCTCCAAGATCGTGGTGCTCCCTGGTGGGGGGCGTCCTCCATGCCGAGGCCACGGGTCTGCTCTTCCTCCGGGCTCCTGGGACCCTTCTCCCCCCCGGAGGCTGTGCGTGCATGCGTGTGCACGTGCATGTGTGTGCGTGTGCACATCCCTGCCAGCTTTGCTGGAGCCTATGCCTTGGCTCCAAAACCTTCATTTGGCCGCGATGAACCCAGACCACCAAGGCGCAACGTTAATTTACCCGATGCTCGTTTGTAGTGCGTCGATCGGAGAAATATGCGTGATGCGGGCAGGCAGACGCTGGGCTCTCGCCTCTTCTCCACCTCTTCCCATTTCGGTGGCTCTTACGATTTTGTTCCTTGATCAAACACAAAAAGCAAAGAGGAGAAAAATACCAGCACCCTTCCCCTCCCCAGCAGTGACTCCTGTCGCTGGAGGAGCGTGAGGCCCCACCAGCTTTTCACGAGCTAAGGGTTAACCTTCATCTGGCTTCAATACCCAGTGGAAACACGGCTCCCCTCCTCGGCTTGTCTGAGAGGATTAATCACATTTCTGAAGTTCACCCCTATTCCTTCTTTTTATTATTTTTTTTTTTTTTAATTGAACGATGCCAAGAAATTCCAGAAGTATTAAGCGTGTTCACTGCAAATCATTTTTATGACATTGCAAAACCTCCCCTTTTCTTTTCAACCTACTCCCCTTCCCTCAGATCCGGGCCCCGGGAACGCTGGCTCCCCCCCGGCAGCCCCTCTGCGCCGCACTCGGGGAGGCTTTCTCGCCGTTTGCCAAGAGAGCTGTTTTTTATTTAAACTCCATAAAGGATCTTGCTTTAATCAGAAAGTCTGCTTGAGAAATTTCATGTCACTTTTCCATGACTGTGGGTGGGAGAAGCTTGGAGCCAGAGTTGTCTTTTGCTCTTGGAGCGCTGCTGCATTTCCCAGAGAACAAAACCACATTTTTCCGTGGGATGGGGCTGCCAAGGGAGGCTGCCGTCCGTCCGTCCGCCTGCCGCCAGCCCTCCTGCTCCCCCCAGCTCTCCCAACTGCCCGAGGTCAGCATGTCCTGGGATGGGGTTTGAGGGGCGAGGGAGCTGTTGACAGCGCGTGGCCGTGCCATGCCGCCGCGACCGATGCAGCGCACGGCCTTTGCACGGAGTTTTGAAAAGGGAAATGTGGTCTCATCTGGATCGAGTGGTGTGCGACTCAGGAATCGTGCCTTAGCGTGGGGTCCCGGGGAGGATCCACCGGCTGGAGCCTTGATGCAATGACGACGTGACTTGTGACCGGCTGCAGGACATGCGCTTGTCGCTTGTGGTGTGCAGCACCGTAAAAATGCCTGCATGGGACTTTCTTCCTGGCACAAGACCCCCTCCCTCCCAGCTGACTGAGGCAAACTTCAGGTTTGCAGCACCCCAGCGAGATTTGTTGCCATGCCAGGGAGAGCTGAGACCAGTTTCGTCTCCGGGAAGCTTGGCAGGGACAGGCTGGTATGCTCCCTGCCCCTCCATCACAGTCCTCTGCTCCTGCTTTGTAAAACAGATTAGAAGACAAAAAGTCAAGTGTCCCTTTCCCCCCTACCTCTGTGCTTCCACTGCTGCTGCCCGCCTCGGCCCTGCCGGGGGAGCAGCCCCCACCACAGCCTCGCAGGGGGAAGAGGGGGTCTCCACGGCTGCTTGAGGGAGGGGGCAGCTGTGCTGTGTAGAGCAGGAGCTGCTCTTCCTTCCGAGTCCCTGGTCTTTGAACTGGGGTGCGGGCACTGCTGGGACAGAGGGAGTGTCGTGGTTAGCCAGCATCCCCTGCCAGGTACTTGATGGGAGCTGGAATGCCCGGCGTGGAGACACCGATGTCTCTGGAGGAGCTCAGGGCAGCTCTGGGAGTGCCCAGTGTTCGCACACCTTCTCCCTCTGTGTCACCCAGCGTCCGTCGGCCCCTGGAGCAGGCTGGGCTCCCGGAGTTACGGCTGCGGAGTTAGCTAGCTCTGCCTTGTGACCGTGTTCCAGATAGCAGGCAGCAGAAGGACCGCTTTTGGCCACCCTTCAGTGCTGCAGTGGGCTCGTTTTTTCACTCTTAGGCCGGGACTTTTCGCACACAGTTTCTCAGCCGTGGAGCAGGCGGTTTCTCCAGAAGCTGCGTATTAAGTTATTCATTTTGCAGGAAGGAGGAGGAGAAAAAAACCCTAAAGCTCTGAAACCAGGCCCCCAGAAAAACGCCCCCGCCCCCCGCCCCGCCACGAAACAGCCCCGGGTCCGCAGGGAGGGGATGAACGGACGCTGCGATGCTGAGCCAGCTACTGAGATGCCCTCTCGTTCACTCTCTCTGCAGATCTCAAGGATTTCAAGTTTGATGGCCAGCATGTGATCGAGGTAGATGAAGGGAACACGGCCGTGATCGCCTGCGACCTGCCTGAAAGTCACCCCAAGGCTCAGGTCCGGAAACAGCCCCGGGTCCGCAGGGAGGGGATGAACGGACGCTGCGATGCTGAGCCAGCTACTGAGATGCCCTCTCGTTCACTCTCTCTGCAGATCTCAAGGATTTCAAGTTTGATGGCCAGCATGTGATCGAGGTAGATGAAGGGAACACGGCCGTGATCGCCTGCGACCTGCCTGAAAGTCACCCCAAGGCTCAGGTCCGCTACAGCGTGAAGCAAGAGTGGTTGGAGGCCTCTCGAGGTGAGTGACATGGGGGTCTGTCCTGCCGGGTACCCTCCCCCGAGGTTTTGTTCTTTTCAAATTGTATCATTGATACTGAACTGAAAGGGTCAGATACTGAACAAAAGGGTCATTTCAGTGCTGTTGGTGTCATCGCGTTGCTTTTTCCCTTCATAGTTGTCCACCTTTTCTTCAGGGCGCTGCATGTCTTCCAGGGACCTGGGCAGGAGTATGTCTTGTGACCACATCCCACCTCCTCTTCTCTCTCTCCAGACAATTACCTTATCATGCCCTCCGGGAACCTTCAGATTGTCAACGCCAGCCAGGAGGACGAGGGGACTTACAAATGCGCTGCCTACAACCCCGTGACGCAGGAGGTGAAAACCTCCGTCTCCAGCGAGAGGCTCCGTGTCAGACGTAAGCCGCTCTCCCTTTGCTGTGCGTCTTCTCCGTCATGCTTCCAGCCCCAGGAGCACCTACCAGTGCTATTCCAGCTGGTTTTCTGTGTGAACTGACTTTCTTGGTTGCTGGATAAACTCCTTTCCAGCAGCAAAAGGCCCCAGGGTCTGCTCCTAGGGGTGGTGTGTGTGTGCGACCCCGGGATTGCCGTACCCCCTCGGGATTTGTTCTGGATGATGGGCAACCCAGGGGCTCCCCAGCCCTTCGCCAAGACCTCTCACTGTGTGCACATCCCTTAAGGAATGTTCCTCTCTGCCTGCCTCGCCATTTACCCCCCCACAGCGCAGGGGAGCAGCGCTAGCCCTACCGTTACCGCTCCCTGCACAGGATGCTTTCCCATCGTCCACCTTCCGCCTCACCCACCTCCTCCCTTCTCCTCTCCTCACCAGGTTCCACAGCGGAGGCAGCCCGGATAATCTACCCCCCTGAGGCTCAGACCATCATTGTCACCAAGGGCCAAAGCCTCATCCTGGAGTGTGTGGCCAGCGGGATCCCCCCGCCACGGGTCACCTGGGCCAAAGACGGCTCCAGCGTCTCTGCGTACAACAAGACGCGCTTCCTGCTCAGCAACCTCCTGATCGACCCCACGAGCGAGGAGGACTCGGGCACCTACAGCTGCACGGCTGACAACGGGGTTGGGGAGGCCGGAGCTGCGTTCATCTTCTACAACGTGCAGGTGTTCGGTGAGTGCTGCTGTAGCCCTTGTTTCAGGAAGGGCTTCGGCTTTCTCCGCTGCTTTCAGGCGAAAACGCTAGTGCTACTGTACTCTTGCTCTCCCTGGACAATGTGAGGCAAAGCTTTGCTTGTGGCTCCAATTTCTAGGAGATGGGATGATTTCTTCCTTGAGGGTTGTAGTTCTCCTTTCCTGGCTCCCACCATGAGCTGGAAATAATGGATCCACCCTTCCCTTGCAGAAACTGTTGTCATTTGTGGCACTGGGTTTGCTCTAACGTTCCACTCTCTAGAGGAGGACCAGCTGCTTCTTAGGCATATTTGACATTGGCATAGGAAAGACAGCGGAGTGACTTGGTTTTTGTTCTGTTCTGTAGGGAAGATCTCTGTGGGATAGGAAATGGAAGGGATACAGTACCTTAGGTATTTCTACCGTGCATCCTTCCCCTTCTCCCAGGCATTAGGGAAGATAAGCCTATGTTTTATTGGGTTGCATTTCATCCAGGTGCCAATGTGTTGTGTTGACACAAGCTCAACCTTTGCAGAGGAGCGTTTCAGCTCAGAAAAATGGGACTTGTAGGTGGCTGCTGTCATCTGGGAGGGGCAGATGGCCTTGGGCCGCCCCTCTGTGCGGTTGGTGTGGCTGCTGAAGGGGAGGTGCCGTGAAGCGGACCTCTGTGGGCCCCCAAAAAGGGAGTGGGATGTGGGGGTGGGGCTGGGGCAAGGATCCATCACTCTGCCCTGGTCCCTGCCAGCGTGGAAAGTGCAAAGCCACAACCGTGCTGGGTGGCACTCAGCCACGTGTTTTTTCCCTCCGCAGAGCCCCCAGAGGTGACGATGGAGCTGTCGCAGCACATCATTCCCTGGGGCCAGAGCGCCAAGTTCACCTGCGAGGTGCGAGGGAACCCCCAGCCCTCCGTCGTGTGGCTGCGCAACGCCGTCCCCCTCGCTGCCAGCCACCGGCTCCGGCCATCCCGCCGGCTGCGGCTGGTCAGCGTGGGGCCCGAGGACGACGGCATATACCAGTGCATGGCGGAGAACGAGGTCGGCAGCGCGCAGGCCATGGTGCAGCTCAGGACAGCCCGGCCGGGTGAGTCCCTCTCCGGGCTTGGGACTGCTCAGTCCCAGGGCCTAACACACAGGGAAAGAACAGGGCGAGCAGGAGGAGGACGGGGATGTCTTACCGCCTGCTTGTGTGTGAGCTGCCTTGCTCTTCCTTTGCTTTTTTTGCCTGGGGTCTCCGTATCTCCCCCCATGAACTGGTGGGAGCAGGTTGGCTTTGGAGGGCTGTGCCCTGTGTGCGTACTCGAGCCGTCTCCACACGAGAGGCACAGGGCACCTGAATGTAGTGCCTGCTACGTGGCTTACTCAGCTCTGCCTCTCAGCTTGCACTGAGCAAGAGCGTAAACACGGATGTGGGTGGACTTGCCAGGGATAAAAGAGAGACCACCCGGTTCCTCGGACCCTGCTGAGCTTCCCCAGGGCAAGAGGGGCTTCAGGGAGGGAGGAGGCCCCAGTGAGGTGTGTTAGGTTTGTAGCGGGAGGAGGAGAGCTTGTTGCCAGCACCATTTGGAGGGGCACAGCAGGCAGTGTTGCCTGGGACCCGATTCCTCTAAGGTACCTGTGCTGCAATGGGTATATAGCGCTGGCCTCCTGTGAGGCTCGAGGGGCTCTTAGCTCTGCCCCCACGGCAGACTGGGGCGAGCGTTTACCCTGCCTCGACACCTTGTCTTTCAGGAGCTACACTCAGCCCTGGGCGAGATGCTCAGCTGGGCTCGACTCAGCCTCCAACACCACCTTCCAGGGATGCTACCTTAAAGCTGCCCCTGGATAGGGCTGGACTGCCGAAGCCTGCGACGACCCTGCTGACAGCGTCTCCGCAGTGTGCACCCAACAGGGAGCTGGTGTCTCCAGCCGAGGCGCCCGTCATCCTCAGTTCTCCCCGGACATCCAAGACTGACAGCTACGAACTGGTGTGGAGACCCCGGCCTGACAGCAGGGCCCCCATCCTCTATTACGTGGTGAAGCATCGCAAGGTATCGCAGTTTCTCCTTGCTCCCATCTTTCCTCTGCGCCATTTGCCGGGTGGGCTGGTGGCTCTGCTGCACGGTTTCCCATCTCGTGGGCAGATGTGTGGGGGCAGAGGCCCCCATCGTTGGGATCTCCTCAGCCTCAGCCTGCTGAGGTGCAGGGGGCACAGGCACGAGTGGAGGTTTGCCCAGCAGTCCAAGAACAGCCCGTAGTGGTGCCTGTCTGGCTGCCTGCGCAGAGGGTGTGTGCACACACATGTGTCTCCAGCCTGGAGAGCTTCCAGCTCCCAGTTGTCGGCTTATACACACAGGAAGTCCTGAGGGCAGACTGGGCAGTGGCTTGCTCTGTAGTGCTCTGGGCACAAGCCACCTCTGCCTTGAAAGGCTCGGGCTGCAGGGCACAGAGCAGATACCTGCCCTGCTCAGCCATGCTCAGTGACTGTGAAGACCTGGCAGGGAAGCTGTCAGAGCCATGTTAATCCCCCCCAAAAGGTCCTCAGCCCCTGATTTTATTCTGTAAGCTGAAAGGCAGTGCACTGTCAAGTGTATCTGGCACAGCTTGGACTCTTGGAGCTCTGCCGAGCCCTGCCTGAGCCCAAGGGCCCTCTGTGGCCCTTCTGGGCGTGATGGGCAGAGTGCAGGCAGAGCTGTAGCCCAGCAGTTGCTCTGAATAGCGAAGCCCTGTTGAGGTAATGAGGTGTTAGAGCATCTCTTCTCATTTTGCTGGGGCTAAGTGGGGGAAAAGGGGGCTTAGATTTATCTGTTTGCTGTTTATATTTTCTTTGGGTGGGCAGGGAGTTGCAGTATCATAGAACCATAGAGTGGTTTGGGTTGGAAGGGGCCTTAAAGACCATCCAGTTCCAACCCCCCTGCCATGGGCAGGGACACCTTCCACTAGACCAGGGTGCTCCAAGCCTCATCCAGCCTGGCCTTGAACACTTCCAGGGATGGGGCATCCACAGCTTCTCTGGGCAACCTGTTCCAGTGCCTCACCACCCTCTCCGTGAAGAACTTCTTCCTGATATCCAACCTAAACCTCCCTGCTTTCAATTTAAACCTGTTCCCCCTTGTCCTGTCACTACAGGCCCTTGTAAAAAGTCCCCCCCAGCTTCCTTGTAGCCCCTTCAGGTACTGGAAGGTGCTATAAGGTCTCCCCGGAGCCTTCTCTTCTCCAGGCTGAACAAGCCCAACTCTCTCAGCCTGTCCCCATAGCAGAGGGGCTCCAGCCGTCGGAGCATCTTCATGGCCCCCCAGTAGGGAGGCAGGTTTTGCTCTGGGGTTTGAGTACATTACAGATCTGGCACATTTTGGATTCCCAGCCACTGCAAGGCACCATTTTCAATTATGTGTGAATATACATATCTTTACCTGGAATTCTTTCATTTTTGTGAAAATACGATATAATAGGAAGCTGTTATAATCCCGACACATCCTTGATTTCTTTCTAAACAAAGCTTAAGCTGAGAGTTTCTGCTCACCATCTCTTTCAAGAGCCCTTTAAAACAAAGGCAGAAGGTGCCAATGCAAGAACACAACAGGGCAAGCTGCACTAAAAACCAAACGCTGCCAAAAGCCCCGCCAGACTGTTGGCGCTGGTTGTCTGCCAGGAAGAGCTTTGTCCCCCGATGGCGTATCATGTAACTCCCAATTCTGAACTGGCAGGCTGGAGTTTGTCCATATTTTATTTGTTTTTCAGCGCTTCACCTGGAAGGGGCTGTGGGGCAGCGGAGGTCACCGTGGGTCACCGCACTTTGCAGTAATATGTTTTCAGTGTAGTCCAAATTCTCAGCTGGAGGCTCTTTCTTGGGATGCTTAAGGATTGTGTGGAAAGGAATTAGTCCCAATAACCCTTAAACTTGTTTAGCAAGAGTCTCTTTCTGTCAGAGATCCTTAGGATCGAGGTATATAATGATCTGGGTTTGACATCTCTGACTGGAAAAGCATGTGTGCGGAGAGGGAAGGAACCAATTCAGCCACCAAAGAAAAGGCTCTTTGTGTGGAAGGGGGCTATGAGGAAAGTAAAACCTACTGCCAGGAGGCTTTTACATTTCTACCAGGCAAGGGTCTGCTTCTCCTCTGGAAATTTCTTGTTTCCCTTCCCGGATATTAGCAGCCTTTAGGGCTCCCCTCCCTGGCCTCACAACTCCGCCGGCTGGGGAATAAAAATAAAAGGAGGCAGGCATTAATCAGTCAGTGTCAGATGGCGGGAGAGGATGAACGATAGGGCAGAGTCTCGGCGTTTCCGATCTGTTGCGTCACCTGCGTCGGTAACGCTCCTCTCGGCACCGGGTCACCTCAGTGTCCTGCCTGTTCGCCTGCAGAAATACTATCCTTGCAGCTGGGGAGAAGGGGGAAGGTCCCACCTTCCCTTCCGCGCAGGGCACGGGGCATCACTGAAAAACTGTGTTTCCAAGCCTTTCGGGGGGCTGGGGCCATATGCGCTCTCTTCCCTGTGGAAACCTGCGCTCCAGTGTTCCAGATCCTCAGTTCAGCCAGTGAGTGCCAGCGCTGAGGCTGGACAGAACTGGATAAAAAGCCGTCAGTCAAACGGCTTAGGTCCAGGCGAGCAAAGCGGTGCCCGGGTACCTCATATACCCCCGTTGTAACGCCCACCTCGTTCCCTCAGCAGGTCACCAACGCCTCGGACAGCTGGGCAGTGAGGGACGTCCCGGCCTCGCAGCACCGCCTCACCCTCACCCGCCTGGACCCCGGGAGCCTCTACGAGGTGGAGATGGCCGCGCACAACTGTGCCGGAGAGGGACAGACGGCCATGGTCACCTTCCGGACCGGTAAAGGTCAAACCTTGCCCCGGGTGCTTTGCTAGGTCAGGGGACGTCCCACCCCAGCTCTGAGCTGCAGGCAGCGGCCCTGGACAGAGGGGATGTTTCTGCTCGGGAAACGCATCTGCCCTCAGCCTGGAGCCGCTCTGTCAGAAGGGAAACCGGAGGGTGGGACTGAAACGAGATGGGAAAACCAGGTCTTCCCTTCTGCCTGCGTTGGGCTAAGTCCCTTCCTCCCTCCTGTCTCAGCTGGACACCTGCAGAGCCACAGAAAACAGGTCTGGCCAGGGATGTCAAGAAGGTCATGTAATCCATCCTCTGCCTGGAGACAGGATCGGCCTGTGGGGGTTGTTCCTGACAGGTGTTTGTCTAATCTTTCCGTAAAAGTTTGCCCTGCGCTAAAGGAAACACCAGGATTTCCCAGCAGGCTGCAGGCGTGAGGCTGTCTCTGCCACTAAAAGGATGTTCCACCTGCCTGCGCCGAGTCCCCTTGTCCCCTGGCTGCTTTGCCTGCCTCCAGCAGGTGTGGGGAATGGCATTCCCTTCGCAGCAGCCTTCCCTGTGGCAGTGGGCTTGCTCACCCCTCCCCTCAGGCCCCCGTCTGGGGCTAATTACTACCTTCTCAGGCAGAAATCGCGCAACGGTTCAAGAAAACCAATTAGAAGTTTTAGAAAATTAAATATAAGGGGGCCTATGAACAGTTTAACAAACCCACCCCTTATGTTCCTGCCCACGGGCCTGATTGGTGCTTTGAACTCCTGGGGCCCTTTGAGTCCAGAGTACTTACCTCAGCATCAGAGCTGGGAATATTTTCTTTGCTCATCCCAGGAAAAATTAGCTCTGAGCTGTGTCTCCGTGTCACTGATGCCACCTCTCCCTTCTGCACAGGCCGGCGCCCCAAACCAGAGATTGTTGCCAGCAAAGAGCTGCAGATCCAGAGGGACGACCCCGGCACGAGCACCCAGAGCAGTAACCAGGCCGACAACAGTCGTCTGTCCCGTAAGGCCCTCCCGGAGCCGGGCAGGGAGGGAGGGAGGGCGAGGGGAGCTGGATCTCTCGTGCGTGGCGGTGCCCAGGCCGCGCTGGGGCTGTTGGGTGACGCGGGAGCTGGGGGGTCTCCAGCTCCTGCCGAGGAGGGCTCCTCGGGTGGTTGGCAGACAGGCTCTCACAGGAGAGCGGGCTGATCCCACTGCCCGTCCCCACCGTTAGTGTCAGGGCTTGTCGGAAACTCTGTGTCTCTGGCGGAGTTTCACATGGAGCGTTCAGAAAGCCCTG